GAGAGAGAGAGAGAGAGAGAGAGAGAGAGAGAGAGAGAGAGAGAGAGAGAGAGAGAGAGAGAGAGAGAAAGAAAGAGAGGAGATGGACACACACAAGAAGCAGCAGCCAAGTGAAGGTCCAATCCGTCTCCATGAACGAGTGAACCACTAAATGAGTGACCAACCCGGCCTGGGCCTAGGCCGGAGAGATATACCGGTCTTGGTCCAGGCCGGAGTAACCTGGTACCAGACCGGGGTCAGGCCGATGGCCTGAAACAGGTTCTGCCTCACTGCCGGGCCGAAGGGTACCGCTACACTGGGGGCATAGATAGCAACTTGACAGCTGGAGGCATCCCCAGACCTGGTAGGGAGCACGACCAATGAGCGGTGGGCGCTTGTAAAACAACCCGGCTATGCCCAATGACCAGTATTGACCGGCATGCGACCGAAGACTCGACGGGACGCAGTGAGGAGTTGTAGAGGGCAGTAGGGTTCGCCAACTGTATAATGCACGGGCAAAGTAGGGGTGAGACGTAAGGTCCACCAGTTGAGGACGGCAGGGAGATCCCCCAAGGACCGGTACTGACTAGCTGGCTAGTAGTTGGTGGTAGTTATACCCGAAAACCGCTGCAATCAATGAGGAACCGGTCTAAGTCTTGAGAGTGATCCTTCATATCGGTGGGCACAACGTCCTGTTTGTGTCATTAAATAATTCCTGAGGTCTGTGCTGCCCAACCTTAAACGGTTGCCCACCAAATGTAAGGAGAACTGTAGTGATAGAAGTGGGAAGGGAATAAGTTCGTCAGACCCTGATTTAGATTAAGATTAGTGTAAGTGTTGAGGACTGTTAAGTGTTGAGGTGTAGGTCTAAGTGGTGAGGAGGCGGAGTCACTTTACCTGTGTTGGCCCTCGCCATGGATGACTACCCGATGTTTGGCTTCTTGGCCTTGTCCGCTATATGGGCCCCCCTCCTCCTTTTCCTCTTTCCATTGGGATTCGCACGGACCTTTGGCATGCAGTTGGTGAGTCGATTCGGAGCATCCACACATCCATACTCCGCTAACGTGAAAAAGAACAAATGAACCTACCCCCGAAACAGACCCAAGCACATCGATCAAAGCACAGACCTTTGTGTCCCTTCAGAGTTTCCTTTTTTTTTTTTTGTTCAAAGCTTCAACAGCACGGATCTCATGACTCGAGAAAGGGCATCGCTCCACTACATAACACCACACATACACCCGGCCCCGTATCTGGACCAAAAAATGCATTGAAAACGGGCCACTCGCCTTTTTTTTTTTTTTCCCAAACACATTTCTGTGCCGTGACAGGCGCATCAGATTTCACATCGGACGTCTCACAATCTTTCATCTGAGGGCTGGCTGTGATCGTGGCAAATCACATACATGCCGACATTTAGACATTGTGGAAAGTTGGATGCAAGACAACAGCCGCAGATCACACATCGTACGGTCAGCACCCCCCTGCGGCCTCCATGTACGCAGCCCGCGTCCCGCAAGCACTAGTAGGGGGGGAGATGCATGCCAAGGTGGGATGACATCTTCCACAGGGTACTTTGAATCCATCCCCGCAGGTCCTTCGAGATATCCATTAAAATTGGAAGGAGGTTGGCATGGCCCTGTGCAAGGATGACACACAGAAATCAAGGAGTTGTCCAAATGCATTCATCCTAGCTCAAGTCATCTGGCTTGTCGTGGGAAGGTCACAGGAATGATTCCTACCTTCTTCCCCCGAATACAACATACGGTCATTGTGGCTGCATTTGGCGTTCAGTCTCGATACAGCTATACTGACCGTACGTTGTATTTGGGGAAAGAAGGTAAACGGTTGACTATGCACGTGTACAATTCAACTTCGTTCAACCCTATGTCCGGGTGTTGACCAGCTGTGCTTGGCCATCATGTTGAGCACGATGGAAAGGTATGTCTCAACTCATCTGACCTGGAATATCCCATTCTCTACAATCTTGAATGCCTTGATAGCAACACCTTCCTCTGACAGAAACTTGGAAAAGGGCGGCATGCTGTAGCGCAAACAGAAGCACAAACGCATGTTAATGTCAACCTACTCATGTCGATGTCAAACTTTTTTATATGCATGGGATGATGGGACCATACTTCAAAGGCTATACAGTGATGTCAATGTAGTTCACATTGTTTTCTATGCACATGATCACACTTCAAAGGCCGCATGGCGATGTCAATGTGGTTCACACTTGTTTTCTGTGCACAGGATCATACGTCAAAGGTCACACAATGTCAAAATTTTGGTTGATATTTGTTTTTTTATCCACAGGATCATACTGCAAAAGCCTGTTACTAACAAAAAACTGGAGAAGGGAGGCATGCTGCACAGGAAACACCAGCACAAATTGACGTCATGGATCACACTTTTCTATGAGAGAGTCAGAGAGACCCTAAAATGCAGTGCAAACACAGTCACACTTGGCAGTACCTCATCAACATGTGTTGCCCGCCCTAGCCTTGCGATGCTCAAGGGGTTTGAAGTCGGCGATCACCTGTCGATGGATTGACCACTGAAGGATGATATACCTCTCTCTCTCTCTCTCTCTCTCTCTCACACACACACACACACACACACACACACACCCCTGTGTGAGTGTACCATCCTTAACAGCATGCCTACTTGACATTGATTGCTTCAGACATCAGATTCTCACAGCTGAGGCAAATATATTATTTTCAAAAGGCAGCCCGGTGACATTCCTACCTCCCTGGCGTTATGCCTCCAATTTCAGCATGGTGACCTCGGCTCGCCACAAAGAACACCAGCTCGCCTTGATTGAAAACCTAAGAACAAAGGACACCACAACATGTCAGATATGCTGCAGCTCAGGCACCGCAGACCTTGCCAAGCATAGGAGCGTTATACTACTTCAGCGATGGGACTTTCCAAAGGGGACTTTTCCATTCAACAGACGGCGAATGAGTGGATCAGCAAAAACAGAAAGTGATCCAGTGGGTTCTTGAGAACTGTGACGACACAATTCAGTGCCTGATATTTCTCAGGCTTCCAAACCCTGAAGCCCCCTTGACAGGCTGGCAAAAAATGGGTATACAACAGGGTTGCATACGTGCCGAGCGCTGACCCTGACCGCCGACCATTTTGCAGCCGACCTGTAGGGCCGACCGGTCGGTGGTCTAGTGTTTACTGGAAATTGAAACGAAAATAATACTGCTTTCCATTTACAGCAGCTATGATGGACCCACCAGGATGGCAGTCTGTCAAGATCAAGACGAAGGGATGAGGATGGGGGAGACGGAGATGGAGCTGCAAGGGACAGCGCAACTCCAACACAGACTCAACACGCACGTACTACAAACCGTGCAAGTGAAGAATGAGGCTGAAACAGACTGCAGCTGGGATATACCCCCAGCGGACTGACTGGACTGGACTGGACTGGACTGGTACACCGACAGTGGTACCGGGTAGGACTGGACTGGACTGAATGAGCACAGGGCCTGTAAGGTCAGGCCACGGCCTGGTCCCACAAGCTGAACAGGTAAAACAGCCAGGTAGCCCTGGCTCTAGGCCAGGGCAGCTAGGGTCCCACAAGCTGAACAGGTAAAACAGCCAGGTAGCCCTGGCTCTAGGCCAGGGCAGCTAGAGGCACGCTGCACGATCCTCAGACCTGTAGTGGATCACGAGAGCCATAAACACACTTCCGCAAAAGCAGCAGGACTTTGCAAACAATAAAGTTGAGAAATCTAGGATGCGGAGCAAGCTCCATGTTGAGTCCATTCGATGTAGCCTCAGCTAAAGCAGATGTCTGATAACAGCAAGAAATGAAATGTAGTAGGGTACAACTCTAAAGTTCTAGAGGCAATTGCCTCTGTGCTGAAAGGAAAAGATAGCAATATGTCAGAAGCATACTTGCGGCGCATTCACATGCGCTGCACCCCGCACACGCGCCGCACTGTGCACTGCGCACGGGGTGCGGCGCACCCCGAAAATAGGGGGTCGACCAAAAAAAAAAAAGTTGCCGAGGGGTGTTCCAGGCCCGGCTGGGATGTCGCGCCACAAAACGAAAAAAAAAACAACAATATTTTGAGGCCGCGCGGGGCCTCTGAAGAAAAAAAAGGGGGGGCAGCTGAAACGAGTTGGTTTTCAAGTTTTGAATTCGGAGTGCTGCCCCTCGCAGCCTGGATGAACCCGGTAGTCCAGCTTTGTGCCCTTCGCGCCCGCCGTGCATTGCCCGTCACATGCTTGCCTCCACGTCTCCTGTGCAGCAGCAGCAGTCCAGGGCGCCGTCGTCCAGCCATAGCCAGGGCACAACAGTCATCGTGAAGGAGCCGAAGAAGCAGCGGGAGGAGCGTGGCGTCATCTCGTAAAGTTGCCAGGTGGGTAACCACCAATCCCTCTCTCTCTCTCTCTCTCTCTCTCTCTCTCTCTCTCTCTCTCTCTCTCTCTCTCTCTCTCTCTCTCTC